CTGGTTCAAGTAAAAATTTTTTTTTGATTTTTTATATATTATTTTATTAATATTTATGCATATTAAAATATTTATATTTGTTAGATTAAATGATGAAATATTTTTTTTATAATTTTGTTAATTTTTAAAATGAACTTTAAAAATTAAAAAAAACTTAATAATAATACCAAAATAATAAAAATGCAAGAAAATAAAATTTTTATCCGAAGATGAGATTCAAAAGTATTCCGAATAGTGATGCCTACGAAATCTCTAGGTGAGAAGATTTTTTTTAAATACTACCAGCGTATTAGAGTATTTATATAAAAATTTTCAATACAATAAAAATTTTCTTTTAGTTATAAAAAAATAATAAATAAGAATTAATAGGTAATAAAAATGAAAAAAAAAGAAATTTAATCCGATGATGGGATTCAAAAAATATTCGAGTAGAGATGCTTTAAGAAATCTCTAGGTGAAAAGATTTTTTCTTAAATATTACCAGTGTATTGAAATATTTATAGAAAATCTTCAATATAATAAAAATTCCTCTGTTCTTCATTTCTTTTAAATAAGAATAATAATAAAAATTAATAAAATTTCTAAAAATAAAAAAATAAAATGTGTGCATCATGTTATTATTTGCATTGCATGCATGATATAATTTTTATTAAAAATAAATTAAGACCTTTGAGAATGAGATTATTAGGTATTTTGAAAAGCGATGCCTAAGAAATCTCTAGGTAAGAAAGAGTTTTTTTAATATTACCAACGTACTGGAGTATTTTGAGAATTATTTCAATAAAAAAGGTTCTAATTTATTTTTCTCGAATAAAATTTGAATAATAAATTTTTTAAAATAAAACCAAACAAACCAATTTCCAAAAAAAAAATCAAAAAAATTATTTTTTCAAACACCGAGAATGATACTATTTTTAATCAAATTCAAAGGATAACACGTAATTAAGTGGTACCATTTTTAAACGGGCATCGTAGGAGTGCTAATCTTTTCCTACGCGTAATCGACTCCTGAACCCAGACTGTTTCGCAGATCGTGAAATTATCTTTTTAATAAATTTTAATTAATTTTAAAATCTTATTAGAAGGATAAATTTTAATAGGTGGCCAATCACACCTAACCAAAAAAGATTGGTGACGACTTCATTTTTCGTTCTTTTATTTTCGTTTTTAAATTCGTCGAACGGACACAAAACCGTTACAACATATAATCCTATAGTGAATTTTATAAAAATAGAAGGCAAAGTGTGAATAGAAAATAAGTTAGTCCAATAACCCTAACTAAAGGGTATAATCCCTTTAATTATGTTAAGAAAAAGCTTGTTCCACTCATAATAATAAAGTTAGGTTTCAACAGTCAACCAAAACAGGATAATAAATAAAGGAAAGATTAATATTTTAGACTACAAATTAAGACAATGAATGTTATATATATATATATATATATATATATATTGGGATTTTAATAATTAAGACCCCAATAATGCATTATATATTTGAAAGAAAAAGATGTGTTTGTAAGACAGATGACCTAACAAGGACCGAAAAGAAATATACTCTATCCTTATAATTATTCTAAGGATCCAGTTAGATAGATCGAAAAAATTATAATATACACATAATTAATGACATCAATAATAATTTGTATCAATCTTCGGATTTAAAACATTTGTCTTCTCAAGTTACTTTCAATATGGATCATAATATCAGTGACAGATTAGGATTTTTGTCGGAAAGTGTCCATTAATAATATATATATATATATATATATATATATATAATCCTGGTGACAGATTTATCAAATTTATCATAAAAATGATGTCTAAAAGAAAATTTTGAAAATGTTCATTACAAAATTTCTTTCAAAGTTTTTAATTTTCAATTATTTACATCCCACAATATCATGTAAATCCGCCACTGCACAATATAAGAAAAGCCATCAATTTTGGCATAATATTTTTTGCTGATAATATTGTATTTTTTGTGTTTAAGATTACAAAAAAATTAAAAGTTTAAATATAACTGTTGGCACTGATAATTTTGTATTAACAGACGGATTTTCCTTTTCAATAAATAATTAAGGGCACGTTATTTTTTTAAGCGGAGATCATCTGGTTATGATTTAATTAGAATTATTATTTCTCATGTGAAAATAGTCATTCCTTTATGATAAACTTTAATAAGGACTTTGCAACGGCTAATGATTTTTAAGAAAAGAATTGAACTTAGACTTGGTAACGGTGCTGCTAGATCACCTATAATATTTTTTGTCTCCACATGATTTTAGAATAATTTTATATCCTTTAGTCGCCCCTTGACATCGTGAAGTAAGCATAATTAAAAAAAAAAAAAAAGAAATTTGGGTCTCTTCAAAAAAATTTTAATGGTAATGGGTTTTGAGGATTTTAGACTTTTTTTTTTTTTCGAATCAGTGTAAGTAAATTTATTTACATCAAATTTAATAAATTTATGAAAATTTTTTTTACAATCTTTTAATAAATTAAATCTAAATAACAAAAAAAAAATGCACTCACTTTATCACTTGATTTAACTATCAGTTGATCTCTTCAACTTTGTTAGCAAATGCATTCCAACAATATTCATTCCTTTACATTATTCAATAGGTGGAAGAAAATTAACTATTAAGTGCTAAACATGTTCACAACCATTCAATTTTGTCAAAAAAGAGTTAAAGCAAAGGTGAATTTTGGTGAAAAAAATTAATTTGGAAAAAGTAGGATTTCTCAATATCTAGGGTTCATGTATGATTTAACTACCTAATTTGCAAAAAGTTGGATAACTAACCAAATTCACTTTATTATCCTTTGCGTTAGAATATTTGGTGAAATGAAGATGATGAAAATTTTGTTTGTTCTTCAATCAATTTTCATGAAAAGCCTGTTTGTGCGGTGTAATTTGTCTGATTACAGCTTAGAGTTTGTGTTTTTAATAGTTGGTGAAAGGATATTCATGGTTTGATTAGACATGATTTGAGTGCTTTTTTCATAATTGAGATTAGGATTCACTAGGTGTCTTTCTTTAACTATAGATCCAGGAAGAGAGGTCAACACCCGTTATGTGATGCAATTGGTATCTTGTTTCCTTTGCATGGAAGAATTGGAAACTTTTTATTATTATTATTATTATTATTTATTTTTTATTTACATGAAATCATTTGATTTAATGATAATTAATAATTAAGTGAATCGAGAGATTTTAAATTGGATCATTTTGAATTAAAAAATTAAGTTATTTTTTATTAAAATTAAATTAATTTAAATTCAAATAATTTTGAATTAATTTTTAAATCGATTAAATTCGGATTATTTCAAAAATTCTAATATATGAAGAGGGCTAATCAATTTGATTTAGGATATAGAGAATCATAATTCATAAATAGGAGATAGTCATTTAACCACAAAATTATTAAAAAAATTTAATGTTAAATTATTTACTGAAATATGCTTCAACCTTTTTTTTTATTTTTAGGAGCATGTAACAAAATAAAGTTGTATGTGAAGTCATAAACTCCCCTCATTAACCTTGACAAATTGAAATTTTACCCTACCCCTTTCATTTTCATACTAATAATTTTTTTTTGGAAATATTCCAACAAAATCAATTTTTAAAGGTTGCCCTATGCAACCACCATCCTTTTACAATACTATATTTTTTTGGGATTTTCAATTTGCCATCATCCTTCTAGAGTCTAGAATTCAAGTACCACAATTAATCATTTGATAATATAAGGAAGCTAAAGAAAAGAAACATGCATCATGTACCACCCACCATCTCTCTTTAACATTGAAATTAAGTACAAAATTTTACAGAAAAAACAAAGTTTGCAATTTGTAATTGCTTCAAACATTCATAAGATCATGAACAATTTTTATAAGGGAAAAAAACTAAAAAGAGAGGAGTCCCATACTTCAACATTTTTCTACGTGTAGAATGAGAATTCATTCCCATGATTTGTGTAATTATTTATAAGAGATAATATTTAATAAATTTAAAATTATTTTATTTTCAATTTTCAATTTTTTTTATTAAAAAAACCATTCTTTGGCTTCAATTGTGGCCATCAACCAATCCTACAATCTCAAGAGATATGGCCAGTTGCTTGTAAAAAAGATACCCTAAAATCCCTTCTCCACCACCACGATTTCTAAGCAATACAATTAAAATGAGAAACAAAAAGAAAGGAAAAAACCAAAGGTCAGGTAAACGACTTAAAGAGTTGATAGAAACAGAAAAGAAGCCAAAGAAAAGAAAAACAATTAGAATTTTGGGACGGAAAGAAAAGGTGAGAAAGGAAAGGAAAGAAAGGGAATATAAGATGAAATATGGAAACAATTTTCCCAAATATACTTTGATTTTTGTATTGGAAAAATAAAAGATTCACACTTGATTCTAGTTTTGACCTCCAAAAGCTTAAGAACTATTGTTGCTTTTGTTCCTTTGGTTCCTTGCCATAGTAGAAAAGTCGAGTGGACAACATCACGCCTGTCCTCTTGTAGGCAAAGTATCCCACCAAGATCTTTCAACCCTTTCTTACAGTAGTTTATAATGTCTTTTTTTTTTTTTCTTTCAAATCATCTACACTTACAAAAAGTAAAAGCTACTACACTTTACTTTCTTCGTCTTCTTCTTTGGGATATTATTTTTTGAACCTGCAGTTTAAAAACAAAATTTACTGTTAGAAATTGCCCGTAAAAAACCAAGCATAAAACTCAAGCAAAACAATAAAAGAAAAAAAAAAGGCTTTTGAAATGGGAGGGGAGGAGAATGTGAGGGTCGAGGCCTTATAAGTTTGATTTAATTCGTAAATATTATAATTTGAATCATAAATTTATTAAATTTTTTAAAAATAATTACATAAAATAATAAAATTAAACTTCAAATTTCCAACAATATAAATTCTATCATAATGATTATTAGATATTATTACAATATTTTAAAAGAATGAAATTTCATTGAAACAAACCATAAGTTTATATGATCATTTATAAACTTATGCTATCAAAAATATAAGCGCGTAAACAAAGAATTATACGTTAATCTTAGTAGAAGAAAAGCAAAGGTAATTGGTTCAAAGTTAATGGGCTTAAAAAAGAAGAAAAAAGGGCAAGAGGGCAAAAGAAATTAGCTTTTTCAAACACAATATGATCACAAAGAGCAATCCTTTTTCCGGACGACGGGCAGACTTTTTTATGGTTTTGATTTTCTTGCATTGACTGAAAGTTTGTCCCTTTAAAATGACTAGATTACCCTTTAACCATTTCAAGTACGAGTGTCGGTAGACACTGTTTGTCCCTTTAACATTGGGAGCTGTCTAGCTCACATCACTGTTTCCTCTTGTTCTTCTCTTCCACCGTCCTTTTTTAATCTTATCTATTTTTAAACATTTGCATTCCAACTCAAATTTCATGCTTTTTTTTTTCTTAAATAAATCCAAAATAGATAGATAGTTAAGTCAGAACCACATACATCGTATTCAATAATTTACTATGAGTGATTAAAAATTATATATTTAAAATAATTTTTAATAAATAATCTTCAATAAAATTCAAATTCAAAACTATTAGAATGAATCTTAATTACTGACCTATTCACTCGATGTTACTCAAATTTCATGTTAGAACAATAGCAACAGACAGCGACCGGTTGTTGAGGAGTATGATATCTTGGATCATGTCTGATATCTTGGGTCACTCTTGTTGTACTATGACATTTATAAAGGAAGAAAAAAAAGAGAGAAATTTTATTATGTTTGACGAAATCATCGTAGCTGTTTAATATTTTCACTGCTTTTATAACATTAAAAATATCATCATCTTTCTTTACAGATGTTCCCATTTGATCGCTTCCATTAATGCAGGGTCCACTAAGACGCTTTCTTTGAACAAACATTGAATAATTAAATCAAAATTGAAAAAAAAAAAGTAGTAGTAGCATGGAAAGGAGAGGCATACCTAAAGCTAGTTGGTCTTAGGGGTTGCTTGCTTGAATGCAACAGTGGGAGCTATTCGGCAACTCCTCCTCTGATGTTCTTGCACAAGTTCACCAGCAAACCAATCTAACTTCTCGAAATTGCTTTGTTCTCCAATTCTTTTGCCTCCAAACAACACTGATTCAACATTTTTCTGCTTCAGCATTTCCTCAGCTATTTCTATCAGCATCTGTACATTGCTGGTGCTGGGATCTGAATCTAAGTTAGGACTGCACCGGCCTAAACTGGAGCCATTGGCCTGTCAAACCAAAATTGATTGGAAATGCAAAAGAAAAAAACTCATCGATAAGAAACAATAGTGATTCCATGATTTACAAATAATACCGATAATCAAATTCAAAATTTAATTTAATTAATTTATATAATTACGTTTAAAAAATATCATCTCATAAATCTAAAATTTGAATTTCAATAATTATAATCTTTTTGTTTTTCTCATATTATGGTATACCAAAAAAAAGGAACACTCAACATCTTAAAAGACTGATGATGACTAATGAGAACAGAAATTGTTCATCCAGCAAACATAGTAAATTAAAGAAAAGGACCCAGAAATCATGGTCCCTGTAGTTCTTTGGGCTTTTCAAACAAACAATTAAGGTTGTACTGAAGCACAACTAGAAGACCAAAAGCCTGCTTCTAATTAATTGTCAATGAAACCGACCAAAAGGACAGGGAAAGAAAAACAAGGGACCAAGTTTTTATGGAGTCCACCATTTTTTCTTTATTTCAATAGTCACTTGGCCAAAACCCTTTTAACGGCTCATTAAAATGGGACCTAACCTGATTGTTTTTCCACTTTCACTTTTATGAATTCTACTTCCATTAGCCAACTGAAAACTATCACACAAAGCTAGTAAATGGAAACAGAGTTCTTCTTTCTCCCCCACTTCTTTTTTTTTTTAAATTGAATTGAGTGTAGATACTTAAGAATGAAAATATCAAACTGATAATTTAAAACACGAAATAATAATATAACACGAAAATTATATAAAAAAATAAAATGATACTTATTAAAATTCTCACAAAAGTATATGTGTTGAATAAAAATAAAAATAAAATAGTGTTTTTTATTTTAACATGAATTGTGACATCATTTTTTGTATTTAACATGATATGAATATGGGAATTGCCAAATCTAGAGATCAGGGCACTGGCTTATTAAACAGTACAGAAAGTAATAGCATAATCAGCCTAATAATAAAAGCTAAAGATAATTATAGAAGGCATGTTTACCCCCTTTACCTAATACAGAGACGTGAATCATGAATGGCATATTCTGCTCACTCAATGATGTCCCACACTCTTAACCAAAGCCAAGATTATCCCCCACCGCATCAAAATGAAACATTCCCATATTATTCAAGAACTTGTAGAAGTGAACCAAACCCCAACTAATCAAAGCTATCTTCATGCATTGTGAAAGAGAATAGAAATATGAAGAATTCTCTTTGGCCAAAAGAATTTATATTTGTAAAGCAAAACTTTGAAGGCTTTTTCTCTTGGAAGATTCAACAGCTTTAGGGTGTCCACAGTCCAAAGAAAAACTGAAAATTTTGACCAAAAACACGCAATTCAATAAAACTTCAATTCAACTAAAACAAGCAAGACCACCAATTGGTCTTAGGTTGAGCCAACCAAGAACCCTAACAGTTAAAATATGTCTTAGATTCTTGTACTCTTTTAAGAATTTAGTCTTTATAATATTATTTAAAAAAATTCAATTCTTATAATATTATTTTTAAAAATTTTAATTTTTATAATATTATTTTTTAAGAGATTTAGTCTTTGTAAATTGTTAATGATTGAATTAAAATTCTTAAAATATAATACTATAAAAACTAAATTTCTTTAAATAAATTAGAAAAATTAAATTTTTAAAAATAAAAAAATATAGAGAACTATGATATATTTTGACCGATCCTAAACCAAAAGAAGAAAAATATATGGAAAAATACAAGCATCAATGACCACATTGTCCGAGGTCAAAAACAAAAGTTACCAACATTTGAACCCTTATTCAAGAATTCCAATGTGCAAAAGACAAGTCCATCAACTCCTACCAGCCTGGCTTCCATTGTCCCATTGCATTGGCAATGACAAAAACAAAACCTCACCAAAATCATCACAAAAACAGAATTTGTTAAAGACAATCACAAATGTTATGTTTTACTATACTTGCACGTATCAAAAGGAAAATAAAGTTGATTTGAAAAGTTTAAGTATTAAAAAAAATATAAAAATAACATGATTTAAAATTTTAATAATTTTGATAAAAAATCTATTTTGCTATTGACATAAATTATTATTACTAGATAATTTTTATACTTTACAAATATTAAATACATAAATTATTACTCGATAATTTTTGTATTTTGTAAATGTTAAATATAAAATAAATAAATATATAAATTATAAGTCTTGTTTCCTGAAATATACCTGAATTCTTACATAATTGGTGCTTCTACATTGTCCAAACGCCATGGCTACGGCTTGGTCCACCGAATCGGCCGAACCGTCACCGGATATTCGAGCCATTGGTTTAGCCCAATCCTTGACCCTCCAATTCTTGACTTGCTGATATTCGTAGCTAACCTCAAGAAGCTGACCGGTTCCCAATGACAGAACCAACAAATCCTCAACGCCTATAACAAAAGGAAACTCCTGTTTATTATGCAACACGTGCGTAATGGCTGCAGTCGTTGGATTGCTCATTGCCAACCCACCATCAACCGCCACACACCTGGTCTGACCGTCGATAGACCGCATCAAAAAAGGTTCGAATAAACCGGGTTCAGCCGAGGTGGCCCGACAAACCTCCCACAATGGAAAATCAAAACTATCCGTCTCCAAGGCATCCGCCCTGGAAAACAAAAACGGCGCCCTGCTGGAAAGATCATAACACGGGATCAAAACGGGTTTTAGAGTATCTTTCAACGTCAAACTCCTTCCATCCGCCGCGAACACCTCCTTCATCGCCTTCTCCAAGCCGGTTGAATTCGACACGGTCTTACCGTTTTTCAAAATCTTTTTCAAAATACCGCTATTTTTACTCGAACCGGACCGGTATATCCGCTTCCCATTATCAGCAAGGAACCGCCATGTCTCCTCAGCCGTAAAAATCGGGCGGTTGTTATCTCTGGTGGCGAAAAGCATGGCGGTGAAGATACCACCAACACCAGAACCAGCGGCGACGTCAAAAAAATCGGCGATTCGAGCATTCGGATTACCCGACTTGGATTTCAAGGCGTGTTCAAGATAAGCCAAAGCTTTCCCGCAAAGAATCCCTCTCATGCCACCGCTATCAATAGTCAAAATACAGATTTTACCTCTCTGGTTCTTGATAGCTGACAGGGAATTCTCATCACCCGGTTGAGCAACCAACGGCTCAAGCTTCGGTTCAGAAGCCGGAGAGATCGGTTTCGGAATCCATAGCTTCTGATGATCATCGTACCCAAACAGAAATTTACTTTCCAGAATCGAAAATATTTCGTAACTCAACTTGTCTGTGTCGATGCTCGGTTCTTGCATCTCTGATGAAGTATTCGACGACATTATCGAACACAAATAACCCAAAATAAATAAAAAAATCTCTTCTTTCTAGGAAACTGGGATTCTTTCACTAAGCAGCAGTTATTGTTTTTTGTACAACCTTGCCATTAACGCCAGCCCCACATGAAAATTTTTCTGCCAAATGGAAATTTGATGAGTTCAGCCTAAAAAATAATAATATAAATGAAAAAATTTCAAAGTATCACCTTATTTGACAAGAATGGTCAACCAGCATTTATCAGCTTCTAAAATGGAAAATCACTCTCTATTTCTCAATCATTATCATCATTAAAAAAAAAATCTCCAAATTCTTCTTCAAATTCACGTCTTTGCCTTCAAGTTCACGAATTTTATCTACTCTTTGTGTTTTGTTTTCTATTTCGTTAACTTAACAATCAAAGAAAGCAAAAACGTAAAAAGGCCAAAACCCCAGAAGAAGCGAAAGAAAAGAACCCAGAAACAAAACAAGGGAGGCAAAGGCAAGAACGTCAGCAGCAGCTTGCTTTCAGAGGATGTCTGTTGAACTCTGTTCTTTTTAAATAAAATCCACCAAAGAAAAAAAAAACCATTTTATATTTACCGTTTTAAAAATCACCAATGGGTCACAAACGGTTATAAATGATTGTTGGTTTTCCATCCGACGGTGAAGATTGTTTGATTACTATTGGTCCGTGATCAACGGGCAAAATAAGAAAAAAAAAACTTTAATATTTTTAATCTTCCACCGTCCCACGCTTGTCGTCAACCGCGTGGGGCCAAGGCGCCACCACCGTTGGCAAACGGATGGAGGAGCACCACTAATTGAGGTCAAAAACAAATAAAATTTTTGTGGACAAATTAGCCCTTTGGGTGAAAAAGTGGGTTCCATTTTGGATAACAATGTCGGGTCAATTTTTGAAGGTTGTGACGGCGTGAAAAACAGTGTTTTAGTTTGAGTGCTATTAAATGTACTTTTTTTTCGTATTATATATATTTTTAATATTTTTATAAATAAAATTATTTAATTATTATTTTCATAATTTTTTAAAAATAAATTTCTTAAAATTTATATAATAAATTTTTAAAAATTTATACAATAAATTTTTAAATAAATTTTTATTTTATTTAAAAATTTATTTTTGAAAATATTTATATTTTCATAATTTTGCTTTTAAAAAATTAAGAGTTTTTAAAAAATTATTTTTAAAAAAATTTATAATTTATGAAAAATTTATTTTCAAAAATTTATACTAAAAAAATAATTATATAATTTCACTTAAATTTTTTTTTAAAATATTGAAGTACGAAAAGAAAAGATAGGAGGCATTTAACAACACTCTTAATTTTTAACTGTTTACCGTACGCGGAAAGTGCGGGCAGAGTGAAAAGGTGAAATAGTGGATAAGATTATTATTGGTAGTACAAGTTGGGTCAACAAATTGACTACATAGTTGTAAAAAAAAAAATTTTACTATTTACCAACTTCTTCCAAACTAAAAAAGTAAAAACTGTTAAATATCTTACTTAACAAACTTCTAATCACTTTTTACATTTTTATTTATAAATAATGTTTTTGTAAATGATAAGCAAGCATAAATACATGAAAGCTGAAAAATGTGACAATATTCTATTTAAAAATGTCAATTCTATAACTTAACTTTATAAGTTGAAAGAAAAATAACTTCTTAATAGCTAGTATTTTTTTCGCTTTTACTTGTAAAATTAGCAAAGCTCGCCACATATATATCCAAGAAATTTTAGCTATGGCTTACCATTTTATTTCTTAAGTTAGGCTCAAAGTTTTTTTTTTTTTTTCTAATACCTTGTTTCACAATTACAATTTGGTTGCTATGTCACTTATCATGTCACATATGATTCATACATGGTTTTAAAATATATGATCATTTGAATAACCAATTACATCACCATCCATTAGGTATAGAAATAACAAAATGATCAAACATGCATGTAATACTCTTGATTTTTTTTTTTTAAATTTTATTGATTTAAATGTCAAAATACGACTCAAAATATTAATATGATGCTTGACTTTTTCCTTTTTGATATATCTAACAAGCCTAGAATTTCAACTTTCAATTAATTATTTCATTTTCATTGAATCTAAAAGTGCATCAACACATTTTTAATACGCAAGTTTTTTATGTATTTTATTTTAGATTATTAATATAGGTACAAATTTTTAAAAAAAATATTAAAATAATAAAATAATAAGGGTTATTTTTGCTTTTATTTCTATTAAATTAGTAATTTAAAGCAACTTAAAGAAGGGTTAATTGGGGCTGCAAAGTAATTTGAAGTGAAAGCCAAAACAAAATTATTTCAGACGTTCAAAAAAAAATTAGTCAGACGTGGAACAGTGTAGAACTTTTTGTTCTTTGATTTGAGAAGGATTATTCATGACGTGAAGTCCTCTTCAATGCTTTAAGTTTATTTTATTTTTCTTAAAAAAAAAATCCATTTGACGTTTTCTAATATTCCTTTCAAATAACAAATTCCAATCCCTTCTTTCTTATTACCTTTGTGTTATATAATTTTTGCAAATATTTCCTAGTATATATTTATTTAATTTATGTTTTTATTTTTATCAAATTTTGTTATCTTTAAAACTAATATTTAGCCACATGTGAATTTCATGCCTCGACTGTGATTAAAGTCAACCATTCATACAAAGTTATATATTATAATATAATATAAAAAAATTATTTGATATAATTTTAGTGAAGTTTTTTTTTTTAATTTAATAAGTAAAATTAATATAATGACACATGTTTTCATTTTTTTAATTAATTTTTTTATTTTTAAAAATATACATTAAAAATATGTATAACTCTATTAATTTTACTTGTGAAATTAAAAAATTATACTAATAGTGTGTTTTGATAATCTTCCATTATATAATAATGAATCTTAAATAAATAATTAACCTCAAATTAATGTCATTTAGACGAGTCATGAGAGAACTCTTACCTGCATGTCATTTTATAGTTGCATTTTTAAAAATTAAATAATAAAATGTAATTACAATACGATAAACATTTCAACCAAAAAAAAAAAAACTTCAAAGACATTAAAAAGGGGTTTAATTTAGATAAATAAAAATATTTTTTGTGGTGGATGCATTGCTACTAATTAAGTCTTAATTTATTTATAATAATTAGATTCATGTATTTGATTCAATTGTTAGTGTATAGTTTGACATACCAGTTATTATTTGTTTAAGAGGATTAAGATCCAAGGTTTGAATTCTCACTTTTTTTTTTAACTTTATATATGTAAAAAAAAAATCTAAGGATTAAACTATGCAGACAGTCAATTTGATTGCAGATGTAGTTCTTTGTAAAAATTGCACAATTTAAATTAAGGTTGGGAAACTATTCTTCTATTAAATAAAAAATTAGAAAATGACTGACTATTTGCATAAGAATAATTACTATTCAAAGAAAATATTTTATTTGTGTTAATTATGAGGATGATATATAGATCAATTTTTAAGTTCTCAAGCCTCTTGCTAGTTTTGTAAGAAAAAAATGAATGTTTAACTTGTATTTAACTTACTACAATAAAAGAAAAAAAATTTAATTCAATTGATTTATATAATTAATTTTAAAAACAACATCTAAAAATTTACAATTCAAATTTTAACATTTATAATTATTCTCAAATGATAAAAACATTTACTTATTTAACAACATTTTCTTTTTTTTTTCAACACATCTTTTCCCAAAAAATTGAAAGATTAATAGGACTTTGTTTCAAAAGTTGAAGAATTAGTATCTCGTAATAACAAAAGTATATATTTTTTTAATTTCACAAACAAATTTAATTAATTTATCCGTTTCCACTTGTTAATTTATTAATTTCTTTAGTTGCTATGGATAAGTGAATATATTATAAACTTATAAACATATTTTTTATAAGTTTGAAAATTTCAACATCAGTTCGTAATTTCGTATGATGATTTTCTTGAGGTTTTATGAACTCTTCTTTTGAATTAGTATCTATATTTGAAGTTGTCATAACTTGTTATTTTCCATTCTCATTAACTTTATAAGCTTGAAACTAATTCACGTTTTGGGTATTTCATTGGTGCATTTATAAAGATTTCTTCTTGATTTTTTCTTTTTTTTTTTTATGACGCTTGAGACGATGAAAATTAAATTTTTATCACTAAAATTAAGGCTTGAATACTACATTAGCAAACCATGCGACTGTTGACTTTAATTTTTGGTCTTTGATAGCTAAAAGCTTGGAAGACGAAAGGCATTTAGTCCACTAATCACGGCAGTTGGTCTATTAAAGTATGACTAGAATTAGTGGGATTGATCAAAATTACAAGTGACAAAAATCATTGTTTTGGAGGAAAACAAAAATCAAGTTCCATTAAACCTTGTATTGGAATAATGTTGTTGGCACTAACTAGGCTCCAAATTCAACTTTATGCTATTTTTCAACACATGAGATTTTGACATCCATAATATAAATTTCTAACTATCTATTTGTCTATCCATATTTTACATTAATCTTAATATTTGTCAATGTAAAATAAGAGAAATCTTAATTTTTTTTAATGTATACATTCGTGATTAAAGAGTCATATTTGAATCAAAATAAAATTTTAATATCAATAATTCAAAATCTTTTTGACCCTTTAAATTCAGAATTGGTGTTTCTGATTTTAGTTTAATGGTTCATAATGTTCTCTATGAACAATTTATTAATGTTTATTTGGTATGCTATTTCAATTGATATCAAACACCAAAGATGTGGATTCTTTTAAGTTTTGATCTCATAGTCCAAAACTAAACATTTAACTCAATTTATAATTACTACATATATCTAATTCTGCTACAGTTTAAAGAGTAGAATTGGGATTCTCCCTTCTCAAAATAAAAAAATATATAATTAAATTTAATAATTTAAAACATAATATTATGATATGATATGAAAAAAGATATGAAAATAATATGATTTGAAATTTTAATAAAAATTATTTGAGTTTAACAAAAATAAAAAAAAAATTTCATATTTTCATATCAACACTAATTATGATATATAAAATATAATATAAATATATAAATTATCAATATTTTGTATTAATTATGATATATAATTTTAATAAAAAATATAATATAAATATATAAATTATCAATTTCTTATACGAAACAAAAAAATTTAATTTTAACCTCATAATCAAGTACCAATCACTTGCTAGTTTCTATATTCATCCCAAGCTACCCCCCACCCCAAAAATTGAAAGACAAAATACAAAAAGCCACACTGAAACAGCTGTGGTGATGTATGCACGTGTGGATGGGACTGTAAATGACATTGTTGGGCATTTACCGAGCCGGGGGATGGGGAGGAGGAGTCAGTCAGTCCAGCTGCTAACAGACTGAGCAAAGAGTGTGGTTCAAGGTCAGGGACCGCAAAAACAAGCCATTAGAAACAGTAAAACACAGCCTCCCTTGGCTTCTTCTGTTCTTCATCTTCTCTCTTTTGTTGGATTTGCCTCCCTTTTTGTCACAATCTTCAGAATTTTGCCAGGCCCCTAATCCCAACTCCTTAACTTGGATCCCCTGGTCCCTGTCACATTTATCCCCCTATTAATTCTACCATGTCATTTTCCTTGTGCCCTGTTGACAATTTGTTGGCAACAGGACAATAGTATTCCAATTTCACTATAAATTTTTTTGTCCTTTCGAAAATTTTAACCTCTGAAAAATTAAGCTTTAGCCAAAACAAGAAAATGTAAAAACTATCTGAATTAGGCAATGCCAATTGTCAAGCAAGAAACTGTGATATGATACTCTTTAAAGTATTTTCTGTCTGCCGGACCTTCAACAAAACAATGGGTTTTGGCCCATCTTCTTTCCATACAAAATTTTAGGTCCATAATTGATCCCAGGAAATTTTATTTAGGGTTGCATGGGACTTGGGGTGACCGTAGTTTGGCTAACAAGATAGACAAGCACCCATTTCTATAGTTATAAAAAAAAAAAAAAACAATTTACCAGATCAATACATTTTTTTTTTTTTTAGGGTAATTTGAATTATAATCACTGAAATTAAAAAATTTAAAATTTTATTAATTTATTTTGATAAAGAAGAATCTCTGTACTTTTAAGTCTCACCATCCATACGTCTTGTCTAATTTTTTAATTATAATAATTACCCATAATTAAGAGCATTATTTTGATAAATTATAATCTATCCGATATATGTAATCTCATAAAAAATAATTTAACGGTAATTAAATCAATCAATTCTGGTATATATTTTTGGAATTGACGGTGGCCGAGTCTTTCTCATCCACGCCGGAAACAACCAAGGTTGGCCAAATCAGCCATTATTAGACGATCTAGACCGCCAGCAAAGGTGGAACTGGGCAAAGTGGCCACGTCTAGATGGTAGGCAAGCGATTGTCCCCTCAAAACATTTCCTACTCCCCTAGTTGCAGTTTCCTTACAACTTTTGTATATACATTACCAATTACGAATAGAGGTTGAAACACATCCGAAGTCTTGAGAAATTTCTTGTCTTAGCTTCTAAAGCGATTATATTAGGTCCAACAATTATTTCTTGAAGTTCGTGCACGTGTCACGGCTCACGCGAGCACACGAAAAGCTAAGGCACGTGTCTCAGCTTAAGACTCAAGCCTGTGACATATATACATATACTTTAAAATTTAAAAAATTACACATTAAAAATGATAAATTTAATCCATCATTCGATGAAATTCGATCATATCTTAATCTTCATCGTTTGGTGCTGCCTATATATCTTTTATCCCCTTTTATGGAACAACTTGTTTCTGTGCATGGAATCTTGCCTTAATTGCATGTAGCTCTGTGATAGCATCTTCAATCTTCATCCTCTCAACGGGAGCATCTATAGAGCACGCAACACCGACTCGAGTGAAAGAAACCAAACACTCCCATATTTCGCCATCTATGTTCGTCTCATTAATTTGTTGAAGCAATCGAACATCTAGAATCTCCTCCAATTGTTCTGGCAATGCCATCTTACAGAAATTATGAAGGCTTAAGCCATCATGAAACAAGTCATATGTTGGCCTCTTTCCAGTGATCATCTCCAAGAGGAGAATTCCATAGCTGTAAATATCGCCTTGGGGAGAGGTAGGACCACCCATGCCATATTCTGCAACGATATGTTACAGCATGTTGTAAGAAATTAAAAGCCAAATGATTTAAAATAAAGTACATATTAAAAGCATTGACAAATTAAATGTATTTGGTTAACCAAAAAAGATAACAAGATTTGAAATTTACCTGGGGCGAGATAACCAATTGTTCCTTTGATGACTGAGGAAGTTGCTTGCTCGCTACCCGGATTATAACTTGCAGCACTAGAAAGGAGCTTAGCCATCCCAAAATCACTGACATGTGCAACCATGTCATCATCTAGAAGAACATTGGTTGGCTTTAGATCGCGATGAACAATCAGCATTCCACAATGGTGGTGAAGGTAATCCAACGCATTGGCCACATCTATAGCTATGTCCAACATTTGACCAAAGCTCAAATGGCGTGACTGATCATATTGCTGATCATGCAGCCAGCTATCTAAACTTCCATTAGGCATGAATTCTAAAACCAGAGCTTTGAAATCAATGCCTTGGAAGTCAATGCTTGAGCAAGAAGTTATCAACTTGACAAGATTCCGATGTCGAATTTTTCTTAGAGCCTCACATTCAACCGTGAAACTCTTTACAGCCCCAAGGTTTTGAAGGTTCAACACTTTCACTGCAACGGGGTTTTTGTGTTGGTGAAGAATTCCTTTATATACAGAGCCAAAACTGCCACTACCAATGCAGTTGGAGGATGCGAAACCATTTGTGGCTCGAAGAAGTTCCTTGTATGATACTCGCAAGTAGCCAACAGGCAGCAAAGGCACAGGGATATTTTTCCTTCCAAAGCATTTTCTCCAACAAAGGAAAACAAGAAGCACAACCAGAATTGAGGCAAGTGGAATTCCAATGGTGAAAATAAAAATGACTTTGGTTGACAAAACTTTTCCTTTTTTCTTTGCTTCCTCATTGATGCATTTTGGGAGTTTTATTTCAGGAATTCCCCCACAAAGCTCTTTGTTTCCAACAATGGAAAATTCACTAGTATTTTTGAAAACTCCTTTTTGTGGAACTTCACCCTCTAATTGGTTGAAAGAAAGGTTTAAACTCACTAAAAATGGAAGGTTTTGAAGATCAACTGGTATTGCGCCAGACAAATTATTACCAGAGAGATCCAAGTTTTCAAGCCCTCTTAGAAAGCCAAAAGATAGAGGAATGCTACCTTGAAAGTCGTTTCCCTGCATGTGCAAGATTCTTAATGCAGAAATCTCACCAAGTCTCTCAGGAATTTCACCTGTGAAATTGTTGTTATCAACTCGTAATTCTACAAGATTCTTCGAGTTACCAATATCTGCTGGAAAGATACCAGTGAAAGAGTTGTGAGACATGTTCAGAGTAATCAAACTTTCAAAACCAGCAATCAACTGATCTGGTATGCTACCATCAAGCTTATTTTGGGAAAGATCCATGATCTGCATACGCTTGCATTTGCTGAGTGTCAATGGAATACTTCCCTCAAAATCGTTGTCATTTAAATAAAGATAAGACAATTGAGAGAGATTACCAATGCTGGATGGGATTTCACCAGAAAAGCGATTCACAGAGAGGTCAAATCGTCCAAGATTTTGAAGCTTTCCAATGGAAGTAGGAATGTTGCCTGTAAACAAATTTATCCCTATATGAAACTGTGTGAGCTTGACAAGATTGCCAATGCCTTCAGGAATAGTTCCGGAAATCCGATTCCCTCCCATATAAAGAAGATCAAGCTTGGTTGATAAATTAGCTACAGAATCTGGTAACACCCCGCCTAATCTATTCTCATGGATGGCTAAAAGTGTCAACTGACTGCAGTTGATTAAAGAAGAAAGAAAATCCAGGTCTCCTGCATTTCCAATTCCAAGGTGGTTATAGTCTATGGTAAACAGTTCAAGATTCTGAAGGTTTCCCATATTGTCAGGAACTGATCCACTGAAACCATTTGTTTGGATGTCAAACTGTTGCAGGCCAGAGATATTAATTACTGATCTTGGAATTGTTCCAGTGAATTGGTTGTCTCCAATATACAGTATTTCAAGCTTTGGAAAAGCAAAACCTATTTCAGGTGCAAGGTCCCCAGATAATTTATTTGCACCCATGTCAATATATGTCATAGAGGAAAGATTGTAAATTGAAGAAGGAATAGTACCGGATAGGTTATTTTGACCAATGACAAGTATTTTCAAGTTTGATATTCTCCCTAAAGCATTGGGTATAGCTCCCTCCAAATGATTTCCTGCAAGTTGCAGATAATCCAATGAAGAAAGGTTTCCCAAGGAAGGTGGAATACCCCCAATCAAATTATTGTCTGCAAGAGAGAGTCTGGTGAGATTCTTCATATTATCATCACCAAAGCTGAATGGAATTTTTCCAGAAAGGCTATTGTGATTTAAATTAATCAATTGGAGGTTTGAGCAATTGGTGAGCTCCATGGGGATGTTACCTTGGAGATTATTGTAACTTAAATTTAGAAAACGAAGCCGCCTCAACTGCCCAAATTCCCTGGGGATTTGTCCTTGCAGGCTGTTATCAGATAGGTTAGCCTCTCGAAGGAAACTTAAATTTCCGATTGAAGGAGATATGGAGCCACCTAATTTCATGCTATTCAGTTTCAAACTGATTACCCTCTGCTGCTGCGGACCACATCGAACACCTTGCCACTCACAGAAGTGGAGAGAAGCGTTCCATGAAAGTAGAGCTCCAAGAGAACCATCAACAAGCTGATCCTTCAAGGCAAGTAAAGCTAGTCTGTCGGTTTCGTTCCCCAAGGCCAAGGCAAGATTGAAGGACATCGATTGGAAGATTGTCAGAACAACAATGCAAAGCAGAAATTTGATCTGAATAATACATTTGTTATTCGAGAGAGATTTCTCCATTACTAGCTGGAAATTGGAATTACTCAAAAAAAAGGATTAGAACAAGTCGTTTTGTTTAAAAAACAGGAATACAAGGGATAGGAAGACAACTAATTTGTAAGTCAACAAGTATTTCTTATAAATCTAAGTCTATGGGGTATTCAAGTCATAAAGATGATTACAAAATCTGACCAAATTAAAGAGAAAAAGAAAAGAAAAGAAAAATTAACTACCAAATATTAAAGAACAGCAAAAGAAAATTGATAAATCCCATTCAAATGACATCAAGGAAATCAGAAGAGAGTTCCATCTAAGAGAAAAGTCAATCTACAATTAAAATAGAAAGTTTCTTGTCAAAGTAGGAAACCAATTTAGTCATCCTAAACGTCATGTTGTCTTGACAAAAGATTGGTCAGACAGATTTAGTTTAAAGATGGCAAATTAATTTCACTGTGAGCTCCATCACCATCTCTAATTATTCAGCATGCTACAAATCCTAACTGAATTAGTCCTCGATTAGGGATTCATCGGTAATCGTTGGCTAAAGCTGATTGAGTCTGGTCTTCGTTAAAATAATTGATCTTCGCTATAATGCAGATGTGCTTGGAAAAAATGCCCTTATTAATATGAAGATGTCATCCAAGAAAGAAAATTCAACTAACAATTTACATTATTAAAAAAAAAGTTATGAGCGAAGTACTGAAGAAACGATGTGCTAGATAAAATTATGAACGAAGTACTGGAAAAGGGATCTACCGAAAACTTAAAGAATCCTTGTGGTTCAACCAAAAGAAAGATAATAATTAAAGTTATGTTTGGTTAATAATTTTGTTATTTTGCCTTTGCTTTTTTAAAACAAAAGCAAAAAGCACGTCTTGAATATAAAAGTTTTTCCTTACAGTTTTATTAATTGTGAATTTATGTAAATTTATTAAAATTTGGTAAGTTTATTTAAAAGCTACCAACCTCATTAATTGGGAAAAATTATTGATTGTACCCATAAAAGGAGATACGGAGAAAAAGAGACTTTAGACTTTCCCTCCCTATTTCTTCTTTCCTTTTCTTCCCTTTTTTTTTTTTTTTTTAATTCTTGTAAATTTCTATCATCTTTGACTTTTATTTGTAATTGGTATCAGTGCCTTGTAATGAATCTTGTATATTTTAGATTATACAAATCAATATTTAGATATATATATTTTCTGTTTGAGATCTCTATATCATAGCTATCATTGTAAGCATTTCTTTACTTTTACAGCTTTTAATTTTAAATTTTATGTTTCAAAATTCATATATTTATTTACTATCTCTATGTTGGTATTGTGGCTTTGTTGTGGCCTTTAAATCTAGTTTTAGAGATCTTTGAAAGGTACATAGACGGTTTTAAGTACTAGAAACATGAAACAAAATATTGAAAACTATATTTATTCAGAAAAAACCTATAATCATAGTTTGTATGTGGATACTTAATTAGAAAATCATATATCGGCAATCAATCATAATATTAATGGTTTAGTTGATTTATCTACTACTTTTTTTAAAAAATTGTTTAATAAAGTTGATATACCAGAATCAAAAGTAGATGTTTAGGACAAGTTACTTATTTAGATTTAAACCATAATTCTAAACAATTATTAGTAAATATTAATAAAAAATTAGACTTATTAGAAGTTGACAAAAGTCAAACAAATGACTTTGGACCTTTATATTAAGGTAATGCTATTTTTACTCATAATAATGATAAACCATTATCTTTTCAACCATCTAAGTTTTCAAAAGCTGAAAAATTAGATTTTAAATCCTATAAAAGTCTTATAGAACATGTTAAGTATAAAATGGAAAAAATTATTATTCCTAAATAAAGGATTGATTATTTGAATATGATAGAAGAACTATATAAAACACATATAAAACTTTTTAAAAAGTTTAATTATCATTATATGCTTAATTATGATCCTATCGATGAAAGTAATTCAGATGAAGAAGATAAAGAAAAAGATAAAATTTTAACTACTAATCCAGTAGTAAAAGATGAAACTAGTAGTATAGAATTTTCATCTTTTCAAAAGGTAGATGAAGAAATCGATGCTAAGCCTAAGCCTATGGATCTTGATCAACAAAAAAGTTGATAACAGAAAAAGAAAAGTAGGATAAATTTCTAACTAAGAAATTGAAGATGAAAATAGGTTTCATAATAAAACCAAAAATGATATTTATAAAGATGAAATTAAACAAATGGGAACATCTTTCAGAACTGTTACAAAACCTATACCATAATCTAGTTTTATAGAATCTTTAAACAAAAGAACTATAGCTCAAGGGAGAACATATTTAGATCTTTAAAAAATCTATATAAATGACTATGGAAAAACCATAGAAGATTGGACACAATCTATGACTATTGTAGCAAACAATTACAAAGACACTTGGCCTCAAGAAAAATTCTTAAATTATTTTTGTGGAACATTTCAAGGAGATGTTTTACAATTTTTGCGTAAATGGGAAAACTTTAAAATAGGAAAAGCTAAAAAAGGGACTTTGTTAAATCAAATAACTACTATATCGGATTTGTTAAAAAACCCTTACAAATCTACTAAAAAATGAATTTTGTGGAAGAATAGAACTAGTTGATCAAAACAGTGAAGCTAGTTATACATTGACTAAAATAAAATTATTTGACATAAGACATTTAGAAGAATTTTCTAAAAAATATATTCATGAATACCAAAAATTGGATGAAACTCATTCCAAATTTTGGAAAGAACAATATTTTCATAACTCACCATCACTTAGGATGAACTTTGTAATCAACAGTATTCCAAATATTTAGAACTTCACAACCTTATAGTAGAAAATAAAGACTATTTAGATTCTATAGGAAATAGAATTTATTTTTCTTCTAAACAAATATAGAACATTACCTTAAGACAAAGGCTTCTAAGCACGTAAAAGTAAATTAGGTAATAAACATTGCACAAAAATACTAGAAAATGAATGGGAATTTGGTTGTAAATATCAATCTAAAACATGTTCAAAGAAATACAAAAAAAAAAAGACATAAATTGGTCAAATGGAAGCCCAAAAAGCATAAATTTGACAAAAAGAAAAAAATTGTTAGAAGAAAAACTTTAAAAAAGAAATCCAAATGCAAACATTTTATTTGTGATGAAGAAGGTCATATAGCACCTTAATGTCCTAATAAAGGAAAAAAAATGCTAAAAAAGTTATTAAAACTCTTGAAGAATGAGATCTAAAATTTTGTTTTGGAGAAGAAGTTTCTGAAGAAGAAATTATTTATGAATTAATTTCTAAAACAAATTCTGATTCTGATGATGATAAGTATATTCTTATGCTTAATACATATAGTAATCCTGATAATAATACCTTATCAGAAGTTAATAATCAAATTAATTCCAAAACTAAAGACATACTTGTTGAAGAACAACAAATGACAAAATAAAGTGATGCCTTAGGACAAGATGTTACTATTCCAGATAAATTATTAGAAAAAAGTGATGCCTTAGGACAAGAGGTTACCATTCCAGACAAATTGTTAGAAAAATTACAATCACTAAAGAAAGATGAAATATATAAACTATCAGTCTTTTTAAAATTCAAACCATGGACACAAGACATATAGCAAAATTTAGTGGCAATGATATAGCTACTGATTCTAATTAAGGATCTGTAGATAATCCTTTATTTACCAAAGAAAAAATTAAAAGAATTAAATAAAAATATCCTGAAGTTGGATATATACATTTAGAAATAATTATGATAACTATAAAAGCTTTATTCAAAGTTGGTAATGACATACTAATAATAGCAATATTAGTAGACAAAAAATTTGAAAACCCTATTAAAGCACAAAAAAGAGGAATGCAATCAAATCTAGTATCAGGAGTTGTCTGGTTTAAGGTAAAACCAAACTATTTTATTTCTATTAATGACCCATTAATAGAAGATTGCCTTAGACTAAGAATAATGACAAAAAAGTCAAAAATTAGAAATATAGCTCATGATCTATCTATCAATTGGACAGCTATCAATGAATTTACTAATCATACTTTTACATTTATTAAAGAAATAGATCCAAATATTATAGAAATATTTGAACCCAAACCTTTTTGATTTAGAAATCAAACCAAGATTAATGAATCTTAGAGATCTGTCAGTACCCACTAGATGGTTATTAGAAGGTATTACAGAACTTGTTCCCTTTAATAGAAAAATAAAACCTATGAAATTTTTTGCATAAAGAAATAATCTGTATTTTAAAAATCATGAATAAAGTAGTTCTAGTAATAATTTAGTTCTACCACCGCCCTCTTCTATACCTTCATTCTTAAATAGAGATAGTGAAAACATTGAAAGTAATGCTAGTGAACAATCATTTGTTTCACATAGACAATCTTTTCTTTTTCAACTTTAATTAATAGGAACAAAAAATATAAATATTCCTATTTTTCCAGGAGATACTAGTAGCCAAAATTAAGAAAATTTGGTTTACAACTCAGTAAACTTGAATCTAAACTTAATCTTTTCCAAAAATACTAGAAGAGATGATATTCGAAGTTTGGTTATAATTAACCAATATAAAATTGGTAATGATGAAGTAATTACATTTTCAAAAAATCAACCAAAAAGGTATTATAATTATGTTGAAGCAGAATTTAGATTTAAAAAGTATAAACCATACTCTTTAAATGTTTTGATAGACACTAGAACTATTATATGTAGTTGTAAAAGTAATGTTTTACCATTAAAACAATGAGAGCCAATAAAACACCTTATTGCAGTAATATGAATCAATGGAAAAGAAACTATAATAGGATATAAAACAAAAAATGTTTCTATTTATTTTATGAATAAAAAATTCATAATTCCAAAAATTTTATGCTTTCCTTTTATGCATGGTGATATGTTATTAGGAAATAATTTTATATACTATCATTTACCTTTATGTTTGAATAACAATAATATTATTTGGATAAATTCCATAGATATACCCTAAGGTTTAACGCGATTTGAGTTTGCCCCATGAGGTTTAAAAAATGACAATTAACCATCATGAGCTATGCGTTTGTGACATTTCGTTAGTTTTCATTAACATCGTTAATACCTAATTAACAAACACTAACTCTTTCCCTAATTTTTTTTGTTTGCTTTTTTTCATATTCAAACTTTTGAAAGAAAAATTGGGCTAAAAACATGAATCCTTCACAATGTTCAACAAGTGGGGGATCAAATGTTGAAAAAGTATACTACAATGGTGTGTACTGCCAGTTGATCTTTTTCTATTTCCTATTTCCTATTTCTGTCTTTGTTTTAAAAACTTAAAAATTCTCAA